AGGCTCTGGGAAGATTTCAGTGTCCAAAAACACATTCTGCAGTTTAAGGAAGGATATATATACAGGAAGGAGAGCTCTGTATCTTTGCTTCTGCTGTTCCCTCTGCTTAGAACTCCCCTCACTAACCTGTCTACTATTTCATGTTTTCCCCAGTTTCCAAGGGCTGAAGTGTCATGGAATCTTTTTCTCTTCTCCTGCCTAGCTGTCACTTGGTTTGCCTCTTCTTTTTGCACTCATCACACTGCCTTTGGTAATGCTTATATGGATACAATATATGTTTTATACTATTGTATAAATTAAGTTCATTAAGTGTATCATGTATAACTTCTTTGCCCTGAGATGTAACTTGCTGTGTACTTTAATTATGCTAAGCACTTAACTGAATAAACTGACTTAGGAGTTTGAGACACTAACTATAGGTTATTAGGTGGCGTCAAAAAATCAGACTCTAAGGAGAGACCGAAGAACCAAAATTCATTAAGTTTAGACTAGATCATAAAAACAGCAACAAGATCCCTGGGTGGCACAGCGGTTTAGCGCCTGCCTTTGGCCCCGGGCGCGATCCTGGAGACCCGGGATTGAATCCCACGTCGGGCTCCCGGTGCATGGAGCCTGCTTCTCCCTCTGCCTGTGTCTCTGCTTCTCTCTCTCTCTCTCTCTGACTATCATAAATAAATAAAAATTTAAAAAAAAACCAGCAACAATAATTTTTCAGAACTTCCTATGCTCCTGGCACTATAGGAACTTCACTTATTTTACCTACTACTTCCAAAAAATCCTGGAAAGGTTATCACTAGCATTACACATAAGGAAACCAAGCAGTTAAGTACTTTTGCAAAGCCTAGCATCTAAGCTCTCTTTCCTTATAAGATTCTGTTCAGAGGCTATTTCATTCACTGGGATAGGGACTCCCAATTTTTAAATGAACATTTGAATTCACTTCGTAGTTAAGAATAAACTAAGGGAGAACCAAGGATAATCAACCTGGCCTTCTCTTCCACTTTGTCACAGCCCCTGCAGTCTATTTCTGCAGTCTAAGGAAATTGGCGAAGGATTTGGAAAGTCTGAACTGAAAAACAAGCAAACACCACTCTTTCTCTTATACACATGCACAAAATGCACAGACACACATGTGTGTGCATGTACCTTGCATGTGTTAACTATTTAGCCTTCAGACCACAGCCTAATAATCCTTTCCCTGGGAATCTTTCTGACCCCCGGGTAGATATACTCTCTCATGGAAACATGTCCCTTTCCCTCAGAACCCGTTTCAGGGCAGTCCCTGTGGCACAGCGGTTTAGCGCCGCCTGCAGCCGGGGTGTGATCCTGGAGACCTGGGATCGAGTCCCATGGAGCTCCTTGCATGGAACCTGCTTCTCCCTCTGCCTGTGTTTCTGTCTCTCTCTCTCTCAGAATAAATAAATCTTAAAAAAAAAGAAAGAAAAGAAAAAAAAAGAACCCCTGTTTCACTGTGTAACTTAGTGTGTTTATTTGTTTAATATTTGCCTTGTCCTCTGGGGTACAAGCTCCGTAACTATAAGGACCTGTTTTTGCTCATCACAGTTTTTCTAGCACTTAATTTGCCACTTGGAAGATTTTAGGTGTTCCATAGTGAATGCGTTCATGAGTGAATAAATGAATAAGTGCCTGGACAAATTTCACCAGTAGTTATTTCATACTTTAAGAGGAAGCCTGATACAGCAACATTGAGAATGTTGTTTAGGGATGAAGGGTTTCGGGACTAGAAACAATTAGGAGAACATCCATTCATTCTCACCTACCTCTACCAGCCTTGTTGCATCTGTAATCATATACCTTGCTTTTCCTTCTGTGACAATGGCTGGATGGTCTAGATTCTTACCCAAAGTCAACCAATTCACTTTGTACTGGATCCTATTTCTCTTGCTCCTCAATGTACTCATTCTCTCTCTCATGCTATCAAATTTTTACTCCATACTACAACCCTATTCAACAGAGTTTTCTACGATGGAAATATTCTCTGTCCATGCTGTTCAATACAGTAGCTACTAGCCACTTGTAGCTACTAAGTACTTGAAATGTGGTTAATCATGGAGGGACTACATTTTTAAAAGTTTATTTTAAACTAGTTACCTACAGATGACTTCCATCAGATTCAACATGCTATTATTTCTTCCATTTCAAAAAATAACTAACCTCCCTTGACTTCACACTTCTAGATACCATCCCTTTCTCTGCTTCTCCTTCACAGTATATTCTATAAAATGTTTGTCTACACTCCTTGTACACACTTTTCCTTCCTTCATGTACTCCTAAACTTACTTCGGTCTATCTTTTGACTCAACATATCACCATAATGTTGCTCAGCATCACCAGGGACCTCTGCGTTGCCAAAACCTATGGTCAGTGTTGAGTGCTCATTTTACCAGAATGAACAGCAGCATTTTACAGTTCATAATTCCCTTCTTGAAAGATTTGCTTCTCTGTTATTTGGGATCTCACCTTTCTCTCTCTCTCTCTCTCTTTTTAAGATTTTACTTATTTATTCATGACAAACACAGAGAGAGAGGCAGAGAGAGAAGCAGGCCCCATGCAGGAAGCCTGATGTAGGACTCAATCCCAGGACTCCAGGACCATGCCCTGGGCCGAAGGCAGGCGCTAAACTGCTGAGCCATCCAGGGACACCCCCACCCCCCTCAATTCTCCTCTTATCTCTCTGGCTATTCTTTCTCAGCTTCCAGTGCTGGATTTTCACCTTTGCATCCTCTAAATACTGAAATGTCACAAGCCTTAGTTCTTAAACCTCATCTTTTGTCTTTATTTTCTTCCTTGGTGCTTTCATCCATTTCCAAGGCTTCAAATATCAGGTATAGGCTGCAGACGCCCACATGTATTTCTTGCTCTGAACTCCAAACTTGCATGTTCTAGAACAAATCCCCCACTGAAACCTGACATTTGTATGTGTAGCATGGCCTCAAGCTTCAGATTCTATAAGATCATTTCTGATTTACCTTTAAATCTGTTCTTCCCTCAATCTTCTCCACTTTATTTTTAAGATGTTATTTATTTATTTGAGAGAGAGAGCGAGAGAGCACGCATGAGTTGTGGAGGCCGAGAAAAATTAAGGCCATCCCACCTAAAGTTTAGCATTAGCACAAGTACAGCCATCTTAGGCCCCTGTGAATAAGAGCTGAACTTTATGGGAAAAACCGCAGAATGTCCTCAATGTCCTCGGCAGGTAATCCCATATCAGAAAGAGAAGAGAGCTCAGAATTGCTCTCAGCAGAGAATCCCATATCAGAAAGACAACAGAGCCCACGCCCATGGTAGAAAGTCTCATATTAGAATGAGAACAGAGCTCAATGCCCTTGAAAGCCCCACATCAGAATGTAAACAGAATTTGGGAGAAATTCTTCCACCCCTTCTGAAAATCCCCTAGACCAGCCTATAAGAAATCCAGCTGTAACCCACTTCGAGGCCCAAGTCCCTGCTCCGCTGTGTCGGGTATACTTGGACCCAAGCTCGAGCTTGCTAATAAACCCTCGTGCGCTTGCAAGGGTGTGGGCTCCTTGGTGGTTTCTCGGATTCGCAATCTTGGGCACAACAGAGTGGGAGGAGGGTCAGAGGGAGAGGGAGAAGCAGACTCCCGTTGGAGCAGGGGGCCTGATATGGGGCTTGATCCCAGGACGGAATCATGACCTGAGCTGAAGGCAGAGACTTAACCCACCCAGGTGCCCCAATCTTCTGCATTTTAATCAGTGCCACCTCCATCTTTCTAAACACTCAGGCCCCAAATTTTGGAAATGTTCTTGACTCGTTTGCCACCACCAATCTATCAGCAATTTCTACTTTGTCCTACTATTTAAATAATGCGAGAACCTGACCCTTTTCCATTATTTTACCTAGTTCAAGCCACTCTCACTGCTAGCCTAGATTATTACAAGAGCCTCCTGACTGGTTTCTCTACTTGTATTTACTTTTATTCCCCTAAAATAACCTATCCAAACAGCAGCCAATGATCCCTTAAAAATGTAAATAGATTCCTATCACTGCAAAGCACCAAGCTTTCCAGTGGTTTTCCATCTCTTTCTGAATAAAAATCAAGGTCCTTACAGGAGCCTATAACATCCTGCATAATCTGGGCCCCAGCTATCTCAGACCTCCAGGCCGCTCTTCCCTCTCCTCCCTAACTTCCTCTTTCCTCTAATCCACATGGTCCTCCTTGTTGTTCTTTGAAGGGGCTGAACTTGCCACCCTCAATCTCTTTATCCTGATTTACTTTACAGGACAGTTCTTAATTGTCTTCCCAAACTAAACTTTGGAGCCCTTAATCAGAGTCCAGACTTGACCTGTTTTGCTCTCTACTGGATTCCCATCTCAAACAGTGCCTGGCACTGAATATGTATTCAATAAGTCAGTGTTGAGTAGGCGAATTAACAAATTATACTACTAATGCCTAGTAGTATAACCCAGCATAATAAACCATTTAACCTTTTTCGGATCTCACTTTCCTCATCTCTCAAAGGAGAGATAAAACTAGATAACCTCGGGCAGGCCGGGTGGCTCAGCGGTTTGGCGCTGCCTTCCGCCCAGGGCGTGACCCTGGAGACCCAGGATCGAGTCCCTGCATGGAGCCTGCTTCTCCCTCTGCCTGTGTCTCTGCCTCTCTCTCTCTCTCATTAATAAATAATCTTAACCTCAAATATTTAATGCACTACTATGTGCCTGGCACTGGGGAGGTGCTTCAGATCCAAGATAAGGTCACAGTTCCTGCTGTCAAGGATCTAGATGTTGAGTGGGGTGAAGAGCTACACGGGGAATTACCATGGAGGGCTTCCAGAGTAAACCTGAGTGTTCTCACCTGGTGATGGGTAGGATGCAGCCAGGGGAAGAGGGGGCAGGAGCCCGTTCCCGGCTTCCCACGTGTGCACAGCGAACCCTTTCAGGTTGTGGAGGTTTACAAGGGCCTCCCGGGTTCACGCTCAGATTTGGCTCCAGACTTAATCCCATCATTATCTTACCTCCGAGGCTGGTGCATTTACGGAACGAAGAAGCGGGGTGGGAGTTGGGGGAAGATCATGAAATCAGTTCCAGCTTTAAAACTACACCACCTTGGTTAGCATCCACCTGTCCTAAGGCGAGGAACTACTTGTGCACTTAGGCTTGGACCTACGTATGCTTTTACACTGTTTTTAAGCCCCAGGAACACAAATCACACCGTCCTTAACTCTGGAGGCCCCCAGCACAGTACAAAGGTCCTCAACGTTTTTCAGTCCCACGCTTCTCGGAGCTTTCCAGCCCGGACGTCCCCATCGGCGCGGAGCCCAGACCGCGGGACGTCTGCGACAGCATCGGCGCAGGCCCGCGAATTGTCCCACACCCTGGGACCGTCATAGTCGGCTCTTCTCGAGAGTTCCCGGGCGTCCTTGCTAGTTGGCCCCCCGCAAGCCCCTGCGCCAACCTGGGCGGAGTCGACCCCTTGGGACTCTACCAACTGAAAAGTGCAGGGGTGGGGGCACTGAGCACGCCGAGAGGAAGACGACAAAACGGAAAGAGAACCGCCCTCAAATAACCGGTCAAGTTATCTTATTATTATTAGCACATCGCGCGGGGCTCATGTGTCCCGAGAGAAATAGGCTGGCCCGCCTCCCAAGCTAAAACAACGCGCGGCCCCCCCTACGTCTGGCGCGTCCGGCCTTTGGTCTCTCCCGCGCCGGGCGACCCCGCAGTCACGTGCTCCCCCTGTCCTTCTCGCGGAGCGTGCTTCCTGCGGTGGGGACGGCCGAGCCATGGCAGCCCTTCTGAGACCCGCTCGCTGGCTCCTGCGAGCCCGGGCGGCCCCGCGCCTCCCGCTTTCCCTGCGCCTCCTCGCAAGCGGCCCGAGGCGGCCGCACGCCGCCCCCTGTGTGCCCGCCGCCCGCGCCGGGCCGGTCGCCGGGTGAGTGCCCGGGTTTCTCCCCCCGCGCGTCTGCAGGGCGGGCGTCCCCCGGGGGCGCGATGCTGGCGGGGGCCGGGCCCGCCTGTCTCTGTGTGTGCCCTCTTCGCCGCTCTGGGGCCAGAATGTGCCGGGGCCTCGGATCCCGCTCCCCAGCGGGGGTTTTAGGGTGACAGGGTCAGCCGACTGCGGAAGGTCATGCCGTGTGCCAGGCTGGCTTCCGGCTTGGATTCTGCTCTCGCCTGGGATTGGGTCTTCCTGTGCTCGGGCTACTGGCGTCCTATTAAACTGAGCGTGCATAGGGGGGTCGGGGGGTTGAAGACTGCTACTGGCCTCGGGTGCTACTTACTCTTCTCCTTAGGACTGACCAGCTTGGGTGCTGCCCCTCGTGCGAGCATTATTTGTGATCAGTAACCTGCTGGGACTTAGATTTCGAGAGGTTTATTGCGCGAGGGATAGGTTGGGAATTTAAGGTGAGCCGGAGATAGTTAATTATGGGGGGATAGAGAGGGACGTTAATTATGATCAGTTTGGGCTTTTGCTTTGCCTTTCCTCTCGACATTTAGAAGGGCGGGATATGGGTTGGGAATTGTCCTAGTAGGGCCCTGTGAGCGTCAATGAGTGAGTAAGTGAACACGTGCAGGGGACTCCGTGAGGATATAAGGAGGCCGAGGGATCGGTGGTGTCAAATGTGCGAATACTTTCGTGGATCGAGGTTTATCAGGAGATAGGTCTGGCATAGACTCGGAGGGGGCATAAGGAAGTTTGATGAAAAAGTAGGAGAGTGGTATTCTGGCCATCTGAGAAGGGGGAGATGGGCGCTGAGGTTTTAGAATTGGAGAAAACCAGATTTTGAAAGACTGTTTGTAAATAAAGTTATTTTGGGAGACAACATAGGATGAAGAGCCAAGGATTTGCCATTGGGCAAGTCACTTAAACCATTTCTGGGCCTCGGTTTCCTTAGTTAGATGGAGTGGTAATAGGGTTGGTAGCACTGCATGAGATTATCTATAAAAAGCACTTAACATAGGGCCTGGTACCTAGGAAGTACTTTATTAGTTGTAATGGTAGTAATAACTATGATTACATGGATCTTTGTGGAGCAGCCTGGAAACCTATTCTCTGCATAAAATTATATGGAGGAAAAGTTTTACGACTTAACAACTCAGTTATAGATCTTTGGAACGTAGCCTGCTTCTAACTTACGGCCTGCCTGGATTTTGTTCTTAGGCCTGAACAGTTAACCTTCAGGAGCCATGCCTCTGCTTTCTCAGAAAGTATATCTCTGCTTTCAAAGACTTTATTTTGAGAAAGTTGTGCCAATTACTTTTTTAAAGATAGTGCTTAACTATCTTCCATGAGGCCAGAGGAGGGTCAATGGTATCTTTGATCTTCACTGTTGCATTTGAGGAAAACTGTAGAACACAATCTAGTAGACAGGGTGTTGGTCTTGGTGTTCATTAGACCTGGATTCCGTTGGCCTGCTCTGTAATCTAACCTAACCTCTTTGATCCTCAGTTTCATGATCTGTAAGGTTGTGGTAACAAGGCCTTTCTCCCTTTTTTGCAAAGCTGATTTCTTGTCATTCAGGATTCAACTTAAATACTGTTTCTTCAAAGAAGCCTTATCTCAGCACTCAATCTAAAATCTATGCTATTTTAATTTTATCACAGTATGTGTGACTTGTCCAATATTAATCTGTTTTTTGTTTGTTTCCTTTAGTAGAGAAAGTGAATTGCACAAGAGCAGGACTTTGTTTTGCTCACCACTGCGTACTCAGCTCATAACAAACAATAAAGAAATGTTCCATCTTTCTCTTGTACTCTTAACAGTCCTTTTGTGACAGTCTCCTGACCCACAACCTGTAAGAATGCCCAGATCTTTCCCACCCGAAAAATAAACCCTTTCTTAGAACTCTGGACTTAACCTCTAGGTGCTTCCCAGTTTCCCTTCCCTTGTCCCTATTCCTGTCTCCTTTATTTCCTCACTTCATGTTCATTCTTCCACCCACTGCAATCACACTACTGGCAAAGCCATCATTGTCTTATTTATTAATTTTTTGTTGTATATATTTTTTATTTTACTTACTTTTTTTTTAGTAGGCCCCACACCCAGTGTGGTGCTTAACGCAGGGTTTGAACTCCCCACCATAAGATCAAAACCTGAACTGAGATCAAGAGTCAGTTGCTTAACTGACTGAGCCACCCAGATACCGTTATTTTATATTTTTAAATTATAAAACTCCTGTGCCTTGAGGAGCAATTGCAAAATACAGAGGGATTAGTAATAAATTAAAAGTCACCCTTAGGTGCCTGGCTGGCTCAGTCTCTGTAGTGTGAGGCTCTTGATTTTGGGGTTGTGAGTTCGAGCCCCACGTTGGGTGTAGAAATTACTTAAAAATGAAATCTTAAATAAATAGATAAAATAAATAAAAAAAATTACCCTTAATTCTATCATCCAGAGAGAGCTGTTGAAATGTATACGTCCTTTGTGTGTGCATGTCCTTTTAAAAAAAAAAAATATTCATGAGAGGCACAGAGAGAGAAGCAGGCTCCTCACTGGAGCCCCATGTGGGGACTCGATCCCCAGACTGGGATCACTCCCTGAGCCAAAGGCAGGGGCTCAACCGCTGAGCCACCCAGGCATCCCATGTGTGTGGATTTTTTTTTTTTTTAAGATTTTATTTATTTGTTCATAGAGACACAGGCAGAGGGAGAAGCAGGCTCCATGCAGGGAGCCCGATGTGGGACTCTATCCCTGGTCTCCAGGATCATACCCTGGACTGAAGGCGGCGCTAAACCACTGAGCCATCCGGGCTGCCTTGTGTGCATGTTTTTGTGTATGTATCCATACATAATCATTTATGTATATATAAATGAAAGTTTATTTCACTTAATATTTCCAAAGGAACATTAATTACCAAATCCACCTTTAAGGCCTTGACCCTGGCATATTATTATGTCTCCCATTTCTCCCTTCATGAGACCCTTTGCTTGGCATTGATGACACCAGTCTTTTATGATTCTCCTTCGGATTTTTCTCATCTGCTTTGTTGCTTCCTTTTTCTTACGTTCATTTCTTAAATGCTGATGTGTTGAGTGGTTTTGCCTCTCTAGTCCTTATGTTTTTGCATTCACTTTGGGTGACCTTATCCATTTTTAAGCCATCAGCCCCTTCCTACTCATCTGATAATAGCATTATCTCTCTCCCTGGATATAGACCATTTATTAGACACCTACACCGGTTGAATTACAGGTGCTTCAAACCCATCACATCTCAAGTTGGTCTCACCTTTCCTCTCAGATTTGTTCCTTGTGTGTTCCCTATTTTAGTGAATGTTGCCATTTCTGTCTGCTTTCTAGAGATTTTTCATTCTTTCATTGACACCTCCCTGACCCAATTCACCCCATATATATTGATGACACGTGATTAAGTTCTGCTAGATTTTCTCCATCTGGAGTGAATCCCCGTTTTCTTCAACCTTCACATTATTCTCTAGTCTCCTTGCAACTGCTGTACCTCCATCATGTCATTTTCCTACTTAGACACTGTGGTGGCTTCCATTAGTTCCAGGATAGGGCTTCATGATCTGGAGATACCTGTGGAGCCTCACTTTTGAGTTCCTTTCCATGGCATCCTGTATTCTAACCGTACCATACTACTACTTCTGAGTCCTCTACAGCCGGGCTTTTTAATGAGCATAAAAATCCTTGGGGATCTTGTTAAAATGTAGATTCTGATTTTGTAGGTCTAGGCAAGGAACTGAGATTCTGCATTTCTAACAAGCCCCCAGATGGTAAAGGTACTATTGGTTCACAGCTCTAAGGAGCCATGTTGCACATCTCTTTGCCTTTGAATGTGGTGGTCACTCTTGGGATGGTGTTGCCCCTTCTCCCTACTCAGGTGTTCCTTTTCTCTGTTAAATCTTGATTGTTTCTCCTATTTGATGACTCCTCTTTTGTGCTTTCTCTAAGATCCTGAATCACTAAGCATCCATTAGCATGATTACATGTGTACCCACCAGCACTCCAGACCTGGCTATACATTCCTTGAAGGCAATGATTTTGCCTTACTCTTTGCCTTCCCTGGTGTCTGACTTTGTGGCACATAGTAGGTATCAAATATGTTTTTAGTAAATCAGTGAAAATCTTAGATGTTGAGGAAGGAATATTGTGACTGCAAAGACTTTTTGAAGAGATATTTAATCCACTCCTGCAGTGCACTGAACTTCCATTAATTTACCCCAATCTTGGTTTCCAAGAATGTTCTATGAAAGACTGATGAACATTATTGGGTGAAATTTTAGAATTTATTGATTTGTTTTCAAAATTGAAGCACCAGGAAGTACATACTTCTGTATTTTTTTTTAAAAAGATTTTATTTATTTATTCACGATAGACACACACAGACAGAGGGTCAGAGGGAGAAGCAGGCTCCATGCAGGGAGCCCGATGTGGGACTCAATCCCCGGACTCCGG